CTTCGTTCAGGAGTCTGGTCAGTACCCTACTGGCCACCCATCATAGGTAGAGTTCATCTGCTCTCTGCTCCTTAGGTTTCTCTGGCACCGCTAGCCTCATGCAGCAAGGCTGCTGTCAGCAGTGGGGTCTCATGGACTGCAGGAGAGCAGCAGAGCACTCTGCACCCGCCCAGTCACAGGGTTTCAGGGCAAGCACAGTTCTGGCTCACCTTGCTCTCAAAGTAAGGTTCAGACACAAGCCTCCCCCAGCTTCTTCAAGACCAGCTTGAGGAGCCTCCACCCTCCTCTCCATTCACCGTGGTTTCAACTTGACAGCTCCTAATAAACCAAACTTTACAGAGCAGCTCCTGGAGAGCTCCTGGAAGCTAATTAATGCTCTAATGAAGAGCCTGACTGCCTTGTTTGCCTGACAGCTCCCACGTCAATCAATCTGCCATAGCCCAGCTTGCAAAAAAGCAGCGAGGATCCCAGCACCCCTGGCATCTGCTTGGTTATCATCATCCGGCACCCCTCCCCATCTCTCCCAAGGGAGAGGGGCGGGAAAAACGCAGAGACATGGGGAGGTGGGTGCCCTGCAGGTCGGGATGGGCAGGTCTGTGCCTGAGTATGAAAGCAGTGAGGGAGTGCCTGGGGGGTTTGCCAAAGCCTCCTGCTTGTGTGAAAGCCCTGCTTTCTCATTCTGCTGTTGCTAGAAGGACTTCCCAGTGCTTAGACCCCAGGCCCTCTCAAAGCTCCGCCAAATTTCCCCCTTGCTTGTGCTGCAGAGGAAAGATAAGTTTAGTAATGCATACGAGGACAATGGCAATTTAATATACCAACACAAATCTGCTCAAGACTCCTTGCCAAAAGAGTCCTATCCAGAAGTCCTAGCCTGCCCAGATCACAGCAGTCCTCATCACGCACAATGCCGCCAGAGACTGTCTGCTGCCCTTGTCTGAGTCCCACAGTCTGCATGGATGCATGCCACTCCCAGACAGCACCTCCTGTTTCAGCCACTCCATCTATGAAAACCTGGCAGGGAGAAGCAAGATCCAAGGAGGAGCCAGGAACAGAGGCTGCCTGCCTGACAGTCCTCAGGACTCCCCTTAACCCACAGGCATCTATCTACCACCTTCCCACCTCAGGCAGGACCCAGAGCCCAGGAGCCTAGACACCCTAGACACCATTCCCAGTCCATGCTGCATGAGGGGACAGTGCTCAGCCTGAATCCAAATGTTTCCAGGGTCACCTGGATTCAAAAGGAACTGCCTGCACTTCTGCCTCCCCTGAAACTCAAAGAGATCAGCAAGTGCCACAGAGTCACCACACTGGTCCCCTCCAAGGACAGGACCCATCTGTCCTGTCTGATCTCTTGCAGATCAGCCCAGTAAAGCTTGCACAGAGGATGCTCTTGTCCACCTGGAAAGGGGCAAGTGTGCGAAGCACAAGGCCACAAAAGTCTCTAGAAGGAAAAGTAGTGGGGAGCCCTCTGGGAAAAGGGATGGTGAGCCCTAGGGGCAAGGTCCAGCTTTCAGGGATGAAAGAAGCAGCATTTCAGAGGCAGGCCATATACTGCAGAAGAAGAGGAGCCCCAAACACAAGAACGTGGGTGGGAAGAATTTCCACCCTGGCACTTGGGGCTCACTCCAAGCTCAGCCTGTTCTCCTCTGCATGGTCTGCTGCCAGCTTATGCTTCAGGCAAGCAGCTGGTGTGAACTGAGCCGTACTTCTATTGTTCCTCCCTCTCTGCTGCAACATGAGCTCACTGAGAAGCAAAAAACAGGCAGCTCAAGAGATGTAAGTAAAAAGAAGAGCACTGTGTTGTAAGGACACAAAACAGCCAGAGGCGATCTAGTCAGCCTGGTTTACAGTCCTGCCCAACAGACCCTCACACAGGCCTGGATTTCTGCCCTAGCCTACAGAAGTTAAAACCCAGCACTCACTCACCCTACAACAGTGCAGGTCTCTCTCCTTGCAAAGCACAGATGAGCTACCTGGGTCTGTGTGCCCTATATGTGTAGAACCCTCCCTCTACTTTGCAACCCAAAGTGTGCAGGCTTGCGGGACATTGAGGAGTAGGCCATGAAAGGGAGCTTCAGATCCTACTGCTGCTGCTGGTGAGGTTTCACACACCAGCAAGTGATGAACATCATGCCCTTGTGATACCTAAATTCTTTATAAGCTCTCACACATACAGCCAGCACACGTTAGAGGGCTTTTCCTCACATTGCCAGTCCTTTTAATGGCTTCGTGCCCAAGGGGTCAGGAACATCACGCTCAGAGGCCAAATCTGGTTCCAGATGCCATGCAAGACATTTGTGCCATCCCCCTTACAGGTCCTGTGTTCAGAACTGGGTTAATGCTGCCATTGCCCGCCTTATTCATTCCTCCTTCAGGATCTGTGTGTTTCATTTCTCAAACACTGCTCATTTCTTCCTAGGAGTAGGAAAGAATGGGAGTGTTTCAAGCTGCTGACATTTCCTCAACGTTACCTGTTGGCCATGACATAGCCGTAGGTGAAATTACATTGCAGCCACATATGGAATATGTGGAATTCAAAACCAGAGCTGCCACCTCTGCAGCTACCACTCAGCACAGATGACAACTACAAACACTACCCACTGCAAGAGTGCCAAGGATAGACAGCCTGAGGACTGAAACAGCAAACCGACACACCAGGAAAAGCTCCAGCATCCTATCCCTTGAGGATGTTGGATTTCACAAAGCAAAGAGATTAATGAAGCAATCAGGCAGCCACTACTTTACCTTTCTCACCTGAACACACTTTAAAGGCTGACATATATCGATTGCCAGGTCTGCACCTGGAAACTGTCACATAGAAAGGTCACTCTGACAAACAGGGAATGGGGGTTTAAGAGGAAACTAGAATCCCAACATTAATTTACAATCTGGAAACACATGCTGGCTCAATTTGCCAAAAGACCTCCAGACAAGCCTTCTTTACAGCATCCCTTAGTGGACTGGTAGCAGAGATAGTTCACCCCAAACTCACCAGCATATGGGTCAAGGCAGGAACCCATGATTAGTGGCAAGGGAAAGGAGAAAGCTAGAACTAAGACACCCAACAGCAGCCTGACATTATCTCAGATTAAGGTAACTATAGAGACACAGAATGAGACTGACAGCACTCTCAGGTGTTCAATCGTCCAGCATCCTGGATATTAATCTGAAAACCAGCACCACCCCTTCATCAATCTGGGGTTCTAGGATGTTCATTCAGAGATGTCTGAGGAAGGTGCCTCCCACATCATCCTGGACCCTCTCTGGAGATTATCCAGCCAAAAACCCTCTGCAGCTTGCAGAACCACAGCAGTCACTGGTACGACTGCCAGCGTTGCATTCGTGGGGAACATCAACCATCCGCTCTCAGAGGCTGCCTGGGACATGGAAACAAAACACAGAGTGCAACCATGGTGCTGGGGATGCTCTGAGGAGTCCCTGTCTTCTCTTCCATCCCACCTTGTGAGCCATAAACCCACAAACATTATGCAATGCTCACTGGACTGACAACTAAGATGTGTGTAGTAGTAGTCCACTGAGCAGCAGCGAGATAGGGAGATGTAAAAACCATGGAGATCAAGATGACTTGTTCTGTTAAGGCATCACTTGATCGTTACTGCTCCAGTAAAGAAGAACTGGCTGCCAGAGCACAGTTTAAATGTCCTTTAAATGCTCCCCTTGCCACCCTGAGCTGTGACACAGAGGCTCTCTTCTGGAAGCTGTTTCTCTTTCTGTCTCACACACATATGCATGCAGAGAGATGTGCAATGAAGAAGCATATTACTCCAGGGACCATATCCAGTCAACGCTGTTTCCTAGGGAAATAAGCTAAAATGATGAGCATCACCCACCTGACCTTGTGAGCAGTAAAACATGTATTACAAGGCAGGATAATCAAGATAAATGGAAAAGATTAACCTGGAGATGAGGGCAAGGAAGGAGAGAGGGAAGAATGATGATGGAGAGCTCATGAGGCACCTGGAGCTCACAGCACCACCTGACTTGTCTAAAGACATGCTAAGGGTTGGGGAAGGTGGAGGGCAGTATGAAGAGTCACTGCGGGGAAAAAACACAAAGCCCAAGCCAGAAGACAGACCCTAGGGAGGAGTCTCTCCGCATAGCAACATGAAGGGATAACTACCATGCTGTAAGGAGATAAGAGTCTTGAAGGTGCTAAAAGCCTTACTCCAAACATCAACTCCAGCCCTAAGGCTAAGACAGCAATAAACCCTTCAGCTCAGCAATGGCCCAGAGTTGCCCTGACCACATAGCTTTGTGCCCTTCCTGTACAATAGAAGGCACCACCAAAATATCAGTGAGAAAGCCTACAGAAGGCACCTAACTCTCTTCACTGGCTGTACAGGGAGCATAAGCACCTTGTAGGTTTTCTGAGTCTCCCTGTCAAGCCAGGTGTCTTCTGCCTTGCTGTTTCACAGTCTGTGCAGGCACCCACGGCCTTGGTGACTTCCAGCTGGAAAGGGCTCCATTTCTGATGGGGATGAAAAGTCAGGCTCTTTGATCACTAGCTGCTTTTGAAGATGCCTCCATCAGAGCAAGAGATGCAGGTAGTTACTAGACAAGAGCTGCAGCACCTCACCTATGGCACATGTGCATGCGCAGGCTTTGGTGGAAGCACATTTCTTTTCCTTGATCCTGTTTTTGCCCCATTCCTCTCCTCTTCTGTCCAGGTTAGTCTGCTCTGAAAGCCAGCTCTGTCTCACCAGAACAGCCCACAGACTGGATCAAGCTTCAGTCACCTCACATCCCAGAAGAAAACCCCATGAACAGCGTATGAGGAGCAAAGAGAGGACCCAGTTCCCCAGAGGTGGATAAGGGAGCTCCAGCATATCCACAGCTGAAGAGCCAGGCACTTCCACCTGAGTCACGCACAAGCACAACCACGAGAGCAGTCCTCAGTCTGGAGAGACCACCGCAGCACTCGTACGTACCCCGTCCCCATGACGCACCCCCCCCACCCCTCATGCACTCTTGGCACTCACCCGGCCTCAAGACCCTGATTTCCAGCAGGTTGGAGGTCCTGTCTGCCAGCCGTGTCCAGCTGCTGTTGTAGTTCTTCCTCCAGAGCTCAGCCACACACTGGTACTTGCCAGCCTCAGTGTCGCTCGCCCTGCTGATGCTCAGGCGCACGTTGTTGCTGGACTCGGCCTTCTCGATGGCAGTACGGGTCCGGAAACCCGTGTACCTGTCACCCCACTGGACCCCACCGTCACGTGTGAAGGTGACCAGGTCGTGAAACTCAGTGCTGCCTGCTGGCTGGAAACGCCATGTCACCGACACTGGTACCCACGATGGGTAGTGGGGCTTGATGATGCACTGGAGGTCGAAGGACTCGTTGTAGGTCACCCCAGGGGTGCGGGAGATAGCTGTGACAGCAAAGCCGGCCTCTGCGGAAAAAGAGAAAAGGGCTTTGAGAGACACCTGCCTAACGAGGCCCTGCTGTTAGCATGCAAAAGCTAGAGTGTGGTCATCGAGTCGTCGGCCTGGAATAATCAGCCGCTGGCATTGTACTGGCTCCTCATTTGCAATTGCAAAGCGGCACTATAAGCAGCAGCAAAACCACACTGAAGTGCCTGTGTGGTAGTAATGCCTGCCTGCATGAGCACTGGCTGCAGCGGCAGCAGGATCTTGCTCAACTTCTGCCCAGAGGAGTGAGATCCCCTGAGAGCAAGCAGCCAGCCTCTGCAGGCTGCCAAAGTCCCGTACGGAAATGCAGCAGCGCAGTGGCAAGGGAGCAGCAACAGGCAGAGCAGCTACCCAGCATCAGCCTGACTACTCACAGACCCTGTGATTCACATCCACCTCTCGGGTAGGGGGTCCCCACCCCATCCCCTACCCCAGGTCTGCAGCTGGTTGCTGCAGGTGAAGGAAAGATGAGGAAAGGAGAAGTAGCAGCTTTTGTTCATGCATCAGAGAGGTGGCAGTGGTTACAAAATGCCAGGATGGAGGCAACTGAGAGAGAAACTGGTTGCTTCTGTTCTTCCCACAGCACAGCTTTTCTTCTCTTCTAGATCACAGCTCCAGGACGGCTTTATGCAGTTATCCTCACATATCCACCACTCCGTAAGCCAGTCAATACATTTTGACTTGTTTACCCCCAGCACTTTGTTTGTTTAGGGGAGTTTAAAACCAGCAGTCTATGAGTAATCTGAAGATAACATACTCCCTGTTGACTTACATTTTGGGTCGGAGTATTTCCATTGCTCATTTGTTCCAAGCTGCAGAGAGAAATATTTTCTTCTCTTCCAGTCCCTTTAGTGCAGCCAGCAGATTTAGCAGGGACATTGTTTTCTTACCTGCAACACTGCCACGAAGCGCTCCCTTCCCGGGATGCTCCGCAGGGTGTCCCACGCTGGCTGGCAGCTCTCCTCCCTCCCCATGCACTGTGTTGACCATCCTGGCACCCAGCACAGTCGCTGCTGTCAGGGGGGACCCCAGTCAGTAGAAAGAGGAATCTTCTGGATCGGCAAGGAGCTTCAGCCTGCCACTGACTCGAAATTACAGTTCAAGAGATGAGCCAGGAGCGCACCACAACCCGCAGAGCTCTTGCCATGGACCAGACTGGCCGCAGCACAGACACCGCTGTATCTGCATCCTTCCAGCAAGTGCTGTTGCAGCCCCCTGGCATCACGGTACTAGAGCTCCAGGATGTGTAATTATGAAGAAAACAGGTCAATCTTCGTGATTAAAGCCTCTTGCAAGATGTTCAGTGATTACCCAGGAGAGGAGAGTGAGACCCAGGCTGTCTCCTGAACAGGACTGCTGCATCTCATCCCCACGTAAGCCTTTACCTTCAGACCCTGCATCAGTCCTCCTGCCCCAGCAAGTGTGTTATCGGGCCCAGCTCAGAGCACCGCTGAGCCAGCAATAGCCCTAGAAAGCCAACTTAATTTCACTAAGACCAGCTGACTTAATAAAGTTTAATCTTCAGCCGGCCTGGACAAGGAAGCTTCATGAAGGGGCTTCTCTTGACTCCTGGGCGAAAGCCATGTGGTTCTCAGGTGCTCAACTCAACCAACACACTGATGGCACTCAGATTAACACATAAAGGCCCTTCTTCCTTCAGGACTTGGCACAAAAGGAGAGAAGCCACATATAAAAGCAGGCAGATTTTCTGCAAGACCTCCCTACCAGAACACAGCAGCTCTCCCCTCACCCCACCTGCCCCCTCCTTCTCCAGCCAGCGAGGGACTGAAGTCCCTGCAGGCACTTGAGATCCTCAGAAGTTCAGGGACAGCTGGTCTCATCTGACAGCACATTTCTCTTCTGGCTGTTGCTTCTGAACCACGCTGTAGACAGATTTATGCGTTTGAACATCATCTGTGCTGGTTCAGCTAAAGAGTTTCTTACCCTGGCAGACTGGCAAACGATTAGACCTTAACTTGAAATGTGAGTGTCACTAAATTTACTGCATTTTTTTTTATTAGCAATTTCTGTAGCCATAAACCTCTCTTGCTCTTTCTTAGCACCTTCCATCTGAGTTTCCCAGAACACTTTGAAACATTACACTCAACAAAAAATATCAGATTCAGCAACAATGAAACAATACTCAATATTTCCTCCAATAACTTTTCATGAGCTACTTCAGCTTTGGTAATTATAGGAGGAGGACCTAGGAATTTCTTAGGACTTGACAGAACATGCTCAACAGCCAGCGATTTCTCTGGGCAAGAAGCAGAGGAGGAGGGACAACTACCTTTCCATCACATCTTCTAGAACTGATGGGCAAATCCAAGCATCTTACATTTTAACAAGAGTAAAAAGGTGATACATTTTAACATCTCAACACTTTTACAAGTAGCAGAGTAAAGAGAATGGCTGATACATGGACTTACAGCAGGCCAAACACCACGGAGCTCATGAGGAAGATGCCATTGAAACCAGATAAGAATCTGCCTTTACAAACTAACATCCCTAACCTGTTTCTGGAAGCTATATGGCAAAGATTTCTAGCTCCAGACAGAGCAGTCTCTGAAAGAAGGTCTAAAGTAAAGAGGAGGAAAGGAAGAAAAAACCGAGACTTTAATCAGCATACAATACAGCTCTGAAGTCTGGTCTCTCACACATCTTGCCAAAGTTAAAGATTAATACTACAGAGAACTAAAAAAAAAACCAAACCAAAAATTCCTGGTTTGACCTTTCAATAAGCTCCCCAATTGTTTACAGCCCTGGTATTCTGCAAATCAGTGGCCTCAGAGGAGCAGTCATCCCTTCTTCATTCTCCTGCACAGTACTTCGTGAACTTGTCCAGGACTTAAAACAGCAAAGCCTGAATGGGACTAAAGTAATTCACAATCTGTGCAAAATCCCTAATGCTCTACCTGCCCTTTCCTAAACTGATGTGGTTTCATTGTGTTTGAAATGGAGGAGCCCTTTGGCAGAGCAGAGTACCAGCTGCAACGATCCCACATCCTAGTTTAACATTGGACAACACTGTGGCTCCGGGCCAGCAGCTCAGTGCCTCCTTGCAGAGGCAGCGAGGACCATTCCTGACCCATGTCTTCTGCAGGCTTGTGACGCTGTCAGAGATGCTTGCCATTTCTGGTGGTTGAGCCAACAGATGCCCAGCGTCTTGGTCTCCTGGTCTGGCGGGTGGAGGTAAGGTTTACCCAGGAGAGGCAAGGAGGCTTCAATGCCCACTGGCTGCTGATGAAGCACCACCACTGTACTGCCCATAGCCCAGCACCAATGATGGGGGATGTGTCATGGGACTGGCAGCCTTTCTCCTTGGAAGGATGCTGGAACAACTGCCCCCCTCCTTAGCCACTCCCTGCTTTGCTCCTGCCACAGCCACTCCTCAGACTTTGCCCCCACACACAACGGGGCGTGCAGATATTTTGCATCAACCTACCAGGAGCTGTGGATGGGCTGCTGGGTACCTCCATTGTGCCGGCAAGCAAGGGCAAGAGTGCCGAGAGCAGCCCCAGTTATTTGCAGGTGACCTTCTTGGGGGGCCGGGTGCACAGGGAGCACAGGCCCGTGCCCCCCCCGCACCTCAAGTACTCACCCAGAGCAGTGATGGACACCGGGGTGCCCGTGTGCCGCTCCCCAACCATCTGCCACTCCCCATCCAGTGTCCGTGTCCACTCGACCACACGGCACTCGTAGTGGCCCTCGTCCGCCTTGACGCTGTTGAAGATCTCCAGGGTGAAGGAGCCGGGCCGGACCTGTTCCACCTGGATGCCCCCGTAGCTGCTGCGCTCGGCGTATGAGGGGCCCGGCTGCAGGGTACCCTCCCGATCCAGACGCACAATTTCGCTGCGCCGGTTGAGCTTGTCCACCAGCTGCCAGGTGACGGAGAAGCGGCTTTGGGGCCCGAAGCCCGAGCGCACGTTGCAGCCAAAGCGCAGGCTCTCCCCCTCCAAGACGTTGCTTGCGTTGTTGATAATCTCCAAGGAGATGCTGGTCTCTAAGGAGAGAAATGCATATACACAGGGGAGATGATACACACTCGCCACTTCTCAGTCTGCAAGAAGGACGCTGCTGGCCAGAGAGGCTTTCTACCAGGTGCAGGAAACTGCCCACGCATTTGGGTCCAGGCACATCTTAACCTCATGCGTGACCACATCCATAAACAGCTTGTGGGCAGCGAGCTGCTCCTGGTGACTTGCACACTCAAAAGCAGGTGTAGGCCAAAGCTGGGAGAAATCTCTCCGCCTACAGCTCACGAGACATTGCCGCATCTTCTGGTTGCAGGTCCGGGATGGGATCTCAGCAAAACTTGGAATTTGTGTTGCTACAACATGGACTGCATGCAACTGGCTCTGCCAAAAAAAGCTTCCAGCTCCCTGGGCTTTTTAATTCACGTCATCCTGACCACCATCTTGCCACGTCCATTCCTACAACAGCTTTTGGCTCTCTCAAACTCCCATTGCTAGTGACACTAAAGGTAGCTATCAGTGTTTGGCAACAAAAAAAACTGGTATCCTGAGCTTCCCAGAGACGTAAGGCTTTATTGCTGTTCTTTTCAGAGATACCGAGTGCTGGTTACTCTTGTTGTCTTCTGTTGGAGTTATGGACAATTAGCAGCCTTTAAAAATCATCACATTTGTTCCTAAAGCTGGTGATTTATCAAATGGCAAGAATGAAATCTGTCTGAAAGGTGGCTGTGCCTAGAAGTACATTTTAGACATTTGTCCAGTGCAAGATTTCTAGCTTGAGTAATTTTGAAGGCCAAACAAATGAGACCAAATATTGGTAGGAGAGAAAAGGAATAGAATTTATTTTGGAGAAGTAAGGAGGGGGAAAAAAAGCTAGAGGAAAGGGCTGCATTTCCCTACAAACCTAAGAGATAGGAGACAAATATTGCACAAAATCCTTTTGCAGCTACCCTCTCCCTGGTCAAAGCTCACTGCCAAGGCAGCCTGGGCAACACATGCATGGTTTTTCATGCCACAGCTACCTGAGTTTCAGGGGGAAAAACGAGGAATGAGTCAGTGGACCCTCTCCTCTCACCCTGTTATTTCTGTATTTATCGCATTTGTCTGACAAACACAAAACACACTCAGACAAGCCTCTGGCAGGGTTGTTTTCACCAGGGTTGGCTGACACACAGTGACCATGAGGGGGCTCCACACTGAAGAGCAAACTGGGGCTGGAGGAGCACACAAACCCTGGTTTCTCCCAGTACAGCTGTCTTGCAAGACAACACGCTCTGAATGGCCTGCAGAAACCTAGCAGCTCTTAGGATAAACCAAGGCCAAGTCAGTCTCCCCATTACGCCCACTGAGTGCTTTAGAGCACCCAGCTCCCTGAAGAGCAAGGTGAGAAGTGTGAGGAGCAAGTCAGACGCTGTCACACCCACCTTCAGCTCAAGGCCAAAACTGCCAGTCTGGGGACATGACCAAGGTGGGGGCATGTCTCCCCACCTACAAGCCTCACACATATCCCTCCTTCTCTATCATCCCTTTCCCATCAAAAAAACCTAAACTTGCCAGATGGCATTTCAAGTCTCCATAGCATGCAAACCCAGCCTCTTCCCCACCTCTGAAGCCTGGGCACATCACGGTCTCACCAGGTAGCTGCCTAGCAGACCCATGGACCCAGGAGGGGATTGGCAAGTCTCTACTTACTGAGTGGCAGGACACTGATGGGGATGTTCTTTGGCCGCTTGCTCTCCTTATCGATGAAGTCCCCTGTCACAGTCTTCTCCCGCTCAGTCACCCGGCAGTTGTACTTGCCACTGTCCTCAAGGCGGAGGCGGTAGATCTTCAGCACAAAAACATTGTCGCTTTCTTTGGCTACCTTGAGCTGACCCAGGGCCTCACGCTGGGCAAACTCATTGTTGAGCACTGGCACAGCATTAGGTCCCAGGCTGGCAATAAGGGAGCTGTTGAAGGCCCAGGAGATGGAGAAGTAGCGGTCAGGGACATTCTGCGCCTCCAGGATGCACCGAAACTCCACTGGCTCACCCACGATGTACGTCCGTTTCTCTGTCTCCAGCCGGACACTGAACTCCTTATCTGGGGAGAGACACACCAACTCAGGTCAGCATGGCAAAGCCCATCAGGAAGCCAGCACACCTTGTGCAAGGTATCTACAACTTCCTACTCCCCACACAGCCAGCATCCCTCGGACACGTGCATCCACAGGTGGAGGGGTCAGGTGCTTGCTTTTGCTGTGAGAGCCCAGACTGGCTGTACTGCTGAAGAGGCAGCTTGCTGTCCAGTATGCAAGAGCTGCAAGGCTTCCCCAGTCATAACCCTTTCCTCCAGCCTTTACTCCTGGGAGCAGCTCTGCTGAAGCACCAGTATCCAGTGGCACTGCAGAATGTGACCTGAAGCCTAGTCCTACTGATACTCTGCTCAGACGGGGTTAAGAGGCAGGGCCTTTGGGGGTATCAGAGAGAAGAAAGAGCTCAGCTGGGTCTTTAGATCCTTAGCAGGAACCTGTGCTTAGGGTTGGGACAGAGATTTTGACTTGCAAATGGACCTTGGGCAATACAGAAGTGCTTGCTGAAAGTTTTAGTTTTATTTTCTGCTGTGTCACTCCTATCTCCTCACTTTGCAAAATTCTCATTGCCTGTAGTAGCACCAAGTGCTTAAGATGTATGTTTTAGCTCCTGTGTCGGCCCCAAATCGCTGACCATGTCAGGAGACAGGGCCCACCACCCTTGCTGCTCCAGTGTCCCCTGACTGCTCTTTGCTGACATTTGTCCTGCCCACAGGACCTCCTTTGCCCTGCTTCACCCCACTAGCAGTCTCCCAGGTGGGCACACGGCAAAGCAAGGAGATAAGCCCCAGCCACCTAACAAGGCACAGCCCTGTTTTCCACCTCCTCCCACCACCCAGCCGAGTGAGAAAAGGCCAGAGGAGACACTGACCGGTGGCTTGCACGTTGACGATGGCGCCCTGGGAACGTTTGCGGGTCATGGCATACCAAGACTTGTCTGGGTCCTGGATCCACTCCGCTGCCTCGCAGTAAAACTCGCCCTGATCTGATGGGTGAAGGTTGTAGATGGTGAGCTTTGAGGTGGTCTCCCCAACTTTGTCCAAGCGAACGTCCCCTGTGGCCTGCCGCTGGGCATAGGCACTGCCAGCCCGCAGGACGAAGTCGCGGCTGAGGGAGATGACCTCCGCGGGTGCCTCACTGCCTCGCTGCCGGTACCAGGCGATGGAGACGTGGCTGTGCTGGGCTGTGCTCTTGGACACCTCGCACTTCAGCTCCAGGGAGTCACGCTCCACTTTGTTCAGTGTCTGTGGGACTGCCGTCACTCGCAGCGAGTCGGGGATCACTGCAGCAAAGGGGAACGGGAAAATACAGCCCAAGAGTTAGCAACACCGAAATGCCAGGTCTAAAGTCCAGATGCATTAAAAGGAGAGCCAGGGGAGAGTTGGTTTTTTTTTTTACGGTTGTAATTATGCATTATTAGCAAAACCCTGTTAGCTCACATCTAGCCCCCAAAAAGAGGAGAATCGTCCCCAAAGCCCTGGACTGGGAAAGACCATGACCTGCAGCACCTACTCCAATAATGTGCTTAAACTCCTGCTTAACAGACCCAGCTACTACAAGGGTTTTCCCATCACACTGCAGAGCAGCACAGTTTAATACATCCACTTCCCATCAAGGCATTTCATCACAGACAGCCTCCCTTTCATCGTGTGCCCCCCCAGCATGTTTTGTGGCACCCCTCCTGGCCACATCCTTCAGCTACTCCTTAGCCCTGCACCATGGTCTTTGCCCCTCAGTCCCCATTGGGGCCAAGCTAAACATATTTAGTTCCTTTAATCTTCCCTCATAAAAAAGTCAGGAGATCCAATTCCCTTCTCCTTTGTTTATATCCTTTCACGTTTTAATGACCCCCTCAGGCCAAACGAAGGGGTTTCTGCATTCGGAGGGAAGTGGCTCCTCTGAGGGCAGAAATGCAATTGCATCATGCCCAGCGCCTGCTCTGGGGACACAGCCCCGTCAAGGCACTTGGTAATAAAACTGCTGGCTACTTTTCCAGTTGATTAACCAGAGGAAAGGAAGTACAGCCACTAAAATCAGGATGAAAATAACAACTGCAGCCTCCCCAACCTTGCTTGATTTTAGCAAGCATCTTAATTTTAGCAAGAGGCTCTACCGCCAGAAGATAAGACTTTTTTAAAAAGAAGCCTTTCTAGACTTCATTGTCTCAAGAAACATCACACGGACAGAAGAATGTAAATGTTCTCCCCAGATCTGCAGACAAGGCAGCACCAGTGAGCCTGTAAATGCCCACAGTTTCATTGCACACCGATGGAATGTAATTAACATATCTCAGTTGAGTTTCATTGACAGCACTGGAAGGTTTGACAAAATTAGCTGAGCTGCTGAAAGCTGCATCTGTTTTGTTCAGGCATGGCTACAGAAAGTAATGAGCTGCACTGAAGACAACCGCTGGCATTATTTCTGGCAGAAAAGTCAGAGCAGAAGAGGGGAAAGGATACAAAGTCACAAGACAAAGTAAATGAGAGGGAAATCCTCCTGTGTCCAGCCCAGATCAGGGCATTCGCTTTTACACTACCCAGGGAATTTACTGCCCCCGACAGGGAAAGTACCTGGTAAGGCCATTTACATCGCAGGCCATTGCCCCCATCCCTGCACTCACATCTCCTCCTCCCTCCCTTCTGCTCATCTTCCTTCACCAGGGCTCCCATCCCCTTCCCACGGGCAATAGCCTCTGACAGAACATGGCCAGGAGCCCACCTCACTTCACTTTTCCCTCTTCTCCTCTTTCCCTCCGACTCCCAAATCAGCAGTGACAGCAGCAACTAACCTTGCTGGTTCATGCTGCCTACACGATGAGATTTAAATATCTCATCTCAAACCTTTACGAATAATTTCCAGAGCCACACAGCTCCTTTCTCTTTGCCCTCCAGCCATGGGCTCTTGTAACTTTTCTTATGTTATTTAAATAAATTAAACCTGATCACCATCTTGCTGGAGTTACTTCTCCTGCTGAGCTGCTTCAAAGGCAGAGCTCCCTGCTACACCAGCCTCTGCATGACAGCTTATGGGGTGAAAGTGGTTATCCATGAAGTGGTCGTCCTCTTTCCCCCAATTTGAGAGCCCTGTGCACCCCACCAGGTGCCTGTGTGCCCTCCCAGCCCTGCTCAGCAGCACAGCCGCTTGCTAGCTATGGGCAAAGCAGTGCCCTGCTTACCCTGGGAGCCTGCCTGGCTCTGCCAGGTGAGTACAGGGCAGGCACTTGGCTTGCCATACGTGGAGCTGCCCGCTCCCTGGAAGTAATGCCGGGAAGCCTGTCCAACAGCTGGGCCTCAAACTAGCACTTGCCATGCCATTCCCCAAGCAGGTTAGAGGCTGGCAGAGGCACCATTTCACCAACTAGAACCATGACTTCATATTTCTAGGTCATAACCTGGCTGGAAGGTTAGCATCTTCTACACCATGTGGGCAAGTCATTGCAAAATGCATTCCTGAAGAAAAAACAGGAGGCTGCAGCATGCTGTTAAAGGCTGTAATCTAATTGTGGTAACACCTGAGATGCTGTGCTGCATTCCTCCTGCTCTTTTGGTTAACAAAGCCAACCAAGATCCTCCCTGTTAGAGGAATTAGTAAGATCTTTTGAACTGCATGCAGCCTTGAGGCTATTGTCATAAATCAGCCTGGAATGGACATATATTCAGTCAGTGTCATCTTCCTAATCAGGAGGACTAGAGACCCACTTGCTAAATGAAAGCCCAGTTTCCAAAGGATCAGACATTGGGAGGGACAGGCAAGAGCCCTGAGCTGGCCGGGCCAGCAGGAAGGCTCTCTGCTTTGCACTGCTGCTCTCGCACTTGGCCAGCGATGCACAAACAACTTTTTTAGTTACACTGCAAGATGCACCTCGGGTACTATATTTGGGGAGGGGGGAAGCAGGTAGAAGAAAGAGGAAAACACCATGCTCAGGAGTCAGCCAAACGTGGCAGCATGTCACAGCTCATTTCAGAAGCCCAACGAGCATTACATTCTGAGTGCTGTGGAGCACCGGGGAGTCCTGCAGTGGGGCCACAGGTCTCCTGGGGCTCACACACACCCCCAACACACAGACCCCGCTGGCCTGTGCCAACAAGAGGACTACAGGCACAGCTTAGCCCTGGAGCAGATCAGGCCTGGAAGTCACGGAGAGAAAAGCAAGCAGGGAATACCATGAAGGCACTCGCCAGGGCACTACACCACACATGGCGAGGTGCATTATCAGAAGACAAGTTCCTCCCAAGCTGGTTGCCCTGCTCAGAGACTTCAAAGACATCAGTTTGCGTATCAGGACATGAGTAGCTCACTGCATGGCACTCATCCAGGAGCCCTGGCTCCGCTGCCAGCCATCACGCCGCCAAGCTGCCCGCACTCATCCCGCAGCTGCCTGCCACGGGAAGCGCCAGGGTTTCCGGGGGCACTCTGCAAGCTGAGCTCCATTTGAAAGCAAGGGTGAGCTTAGATGAGAGTCATCACTGTGTGAAGGGGAGCGGGGCCACACCTGAATCAGAGCCAAGAGGGATGCTGCAGGACATCTCCTCTTGCCCACTCTTTCTCACCTCTTTCCAACATGCTATCCAGGCAGCCTGCCTTGCACTTCCCCCAGCATCCAGCCTTGCTTCCTCCTTGGTCCCCAACACAGGTCTATCCCTGCAGCTGTCATGAACTCCCAGAGGTGTCTGCACAGCTCCCCCCTCTCCAGCATCAAGGTTAGGTTTGGCAGTGAGTGGCTGGACAGGGAGATAAGCGGCTGAAAAACACTTCCGGGGAGCAAACCCACTGCACTACCACCATCCCTGAGCCAGTCTGCTGAGCCTGGCCTCTGCTGACAGCACTGAGCTTGTACTTACAACGCTGAAAAAGAGCAAGAAATACAGCATTTCCTATTAGTTCCCAAGCCACAGGTTACTGCAGAGTGCACTGGGACAGGTACTCGGTGGTGGGCAGGCTGCTAAGCACAGATTGCTCACAACCCCCTTCCAAGTTTTGAAAGCTCCTGAAATATTGAATGTAAATATTGCCACTAGAGGGTGTCAGGGACCCAGCTAGGAGTCTCAGGGCCCTGCTGACAGGAGGAGGGGGTGGGGGGGAGCCCGAGGATGGTCCCCTCTTGCCAGTGTGGTGCCCATGGGCAACCCTCCTTAGGAAGCCTGCACACACAGCTCCAGTCAACCCACCCCAAATCACACACCTCAGTAATGCCCAATCATTGAGCATTCCATGAGCTAATTAAGGCTAACTTTAGGACAAGGAACTGGCTTACAGTCTCCCAGAAAACAAGTGGGGAACAGAGAATGGAGTTCCTGGGTCTGGACTTGGTTCATATCTCAACATGCTTTCCTCTGAGCCCCAAGACCAGCTGTTTCCAGCAGCTCCCGGCGCCATCCTGAAATCTGCCCACACAGACAAAGATGACCCAGGCATCTCCCTTTTCCCCAGGCTGGCTCTGGTTCATCCTTGGGTATCCAAATACACAAGCACCTCCAAGGGGTAGGCTATCAAAGCTTTTATGTGCCGGACACAAACCAGACAGCTACCAACATTTCATCTACTCCCAGGCAAGACAGCAAACCTGCCTTGAGATTTTGCTTCCTTGTTAAGAGATGCAGGAGGATTGTCAGGCTGGGAGCCAGAGGCTCCCTAGCTTGAGCTGGTAAAACAACACTGTGCAAATCACTTAGCACCATGGCAGCCTTACACTGGAGGCTCTTCAGGAGTAAAACAACTTACACAGGATACCCAGCACAGTGGGACATTCTCAGGGCCACTGCAGGACAAGCAAAACCCACCAATATCTTCTTTCCTTGGATTTCGTTATACCTATTTTACCCACTGATACACTTTAGAGGCAGCCTATGGTGCTATCCTGTACTCCCAGCTTCCCACTTCAGACTACCTGGACAAAGCTAAGTGTGCCAAGTGTGAATTATTTAAGAACAAATACACATACTCCCTACTCCTAGGGAGCTGTTTCTGGCTAAGAAATACCACTCTGGATTTTGCAGGGAATTAGTGTGAGAGTTATGTTTCCATCTGCCCCGCAACATCTTGCTGCCCCGCAGGGATCCCAGCTCAGTGCCACAAACCTCCTTCCCCAAGCCCTCTGGTTGTGTGTGCAAGACAGAAACAAGCTGCTCAAGAGGAACCACAATGCCAGTGCCACCAGTCCAGAGGTGAGGACTGGCAGGCACTCAAGAGCACTGTGGGTGAGGTGTGCAGACACAGTGTTTTGTTACTACCCTCTTTAACCTGCCAAGCCTCATGCAGCCACCCATGCCATCCCAGGGAAGG